GTCGGTTCCCAGGCGGTGGATATGGATAGATTCCCGCTTCGCACAGCTGGCCTCCACAGGTCCCCTCAACGCCCTTGGTGGGCCTGTTTTCCACCACCACCACCACCATAAGTTGGATGGGGGGAAGGAGGTGGAGGACGAGGAGGAGGAGGAGGCCGAGGAGGAGGAGGAGGAGGCCGAGGCCGAGGAGGAGGAGGAGGAGGAGGAGGAGGAGGAGGAGAAGGAGGAGGAGGAGGACCCCCTCCCCCTCCAACTTATGGTGGTGGTGGTGGAAAAACCGGCCCATCTGCCCTGGCGCCGCGCCCGGCGGCGCCCCTATCCAGGGCGCCTCCGCGCCTCGGGGTCGAGGCGTTGAGGCCGCCCCCCCCCCCCGACTGCTCGCGGGGGGCCCTGTCGAGGCCGGCCGGGCCTGCTCGGGAGGCCTTCTTTTGGCGCAGCTCGGAGCTCCGAGGAGGACGGGTATCCATACCGCTGCCCTTCGCCCGGTGTCCCCTCCTTGGGCCTCCTGGGAGGCGGCCCTCGTCGCCACCGCTGGATTCGCCTCGAGATTCTGGTCAGAACGCACCCAAAGGGAGGTCCGTGGAGTAGCGGTATCGGTACCTTTTGCTGTCCCCAGAAGCCTTCCAATCTCAGACCACGCAACGGCCTACGTGATTCAGGAGGGGAAAACACAGACACAATTATAATCGTCGGTTCCCCCGAAGATATGGGAAAGTCTTGGAAGTGTGGGGGAAGACAAAGACCCAGCAGATCTGGGGGAAAGTATGGGGACTCGTGGTATTTGTGTCTACTTATTTGTCTGTCCCAGGGCCCCTTCAGTGATGTGTGACGGTGCGGTTAGGCGCATGCATTCACGTTCGCACCTGTTTCTTCCCGTTCGTCGCCGTCTTCTGCCGAGGTTTCCTTGCGTCTTGCCGCTCTGTACGATTCTATGTTCATGGAGTTGTCGTTTTTCATTGTTCGCATTGTTTGGAGTGGCGGATTCTGCAGTGCCCTCTCAGGATAGTAGGGCTTGTCTTCCACGCTCGTATCTTTCTTCGTCGTCTTATTATCCAGATCGCGTAACTCGCTACGAAAATTACCCCAACGCACGAACCACACGAAAAGCAATGGCAACATCATTAGCAATCATACCAACAAAGCCTGCAGAGGTCTCGGAACATTCATCCTACCGAAGTAACCCGAACAAGCATTTGAGAACCCCCCCGGGGTTATTTTAGCACCGCAATGTTATTCAAAACCGTAAGGGCTTCGCCCCCTGCCGCCGGCCCCCTCTCTATCAGAATGGGATACATCAGAGCTATATTGGGATGTCTGGGCACCGTCTTGATGACATTCGGGAACGTCCTGCTAGGGCGGCTGGCGATGAGCAAAACATATCGAGATTCTGAAATCATTGTTGAACGCTTTGTTGTCTTCTTAGAGCGTTTTCCTCCAGTTGTTCATTGGACGCGCTCTGGGAACGGCTGGGGATTGATTGTCTCAGGTAGTATTTGGGGACATTGCAGTTTTTCTGCTCAGGAGAAGGAGTGTCGCCTTTGGGCAGCCTCCGCGAGGTGGATTCGTAGCCTGGGGGTGCGCATCCAGCGTAATTTACGAGGGATCGTGGCATCGAGGGCGCGAAGGTGGCGTAATTGACACGGGATCGTGGCCTGGGGGGCGCGACTGCGGCGTAATTTACAAGGGGTCGTGGCCTGGGTCAACCCTGGGCCCATCATATTTCGCCATCCCGAGCTTGGTTGCGATTTTCCGCCGCGTGTCTCTTGGCCTCGCTCCCCGAGCCCACAGGTTCTGGCCCCTCCCAATCTTTTCCTTTGGTTCCGTCCTGGTCGTGTCCCATTCTCGGGGGCGCTCATGCGGTGTAATTTACAAGGGGTCGTGGCCTCTGGGGCGCGAATTGGGTGTAATTTACAAAGGATCGTGGCCTCGGGGGCGCGATCGTGGTATAATTTACGAGAGATCGTGGCCTGGGGGGCACGAATGTGGAGCCCACCGCTGAATTTTCAAGAAACGGCGGGGGGGCAAAACAATACCAGCGGAGCAAGTTGTAGTTTTTCTGCTCTGGAGAGGGGGCTCCACGGGGCAGATTCGTGGCCTAGGCGGCGCGCCCGCCGCGCAATTTACGAGGGTCCGTCGCCTTCGGGAATACGAATTTTGCTAAATTTACAAAGGATTCTGGCGTCGGGGGCGCGAATGTGGCGTAATTTGCAAGGGGTCGTGGCCTCGGGGGCGCGAATGTGGCGTAATTTACAAGGGATTCTGGCATCGGGGGTGCGAACTTTGTGTAATTTACGAGGGACTATATCCTCGGGGGCACGAATCTCCAGTATTTTTACGTGTCCCACGCCCCAGGAATTCTGAGAACCCTCCCGGGGGACGCTAACCATTCGCGCGGACAGTAACAATTTACAGTAGGAAGCAGAAAGCAGTACTGTGACAGTTGAAACTGGAAGCTGGAACTGGCGCCGGGAGCAGCAACCTTGCTCCTCGCAGCCGGATGGCCCCGCAAGGGGGCCGGCGGATCCCACGGGTGCATTCCCGCGGAGCGAAATTTTTCGCACCGCGCGCAGACAGCAAGACTAAATCCCAATCGGTGGCGGCCACTTATGGGGCCGCCAAGGAAGGAATTCGCAGGGAATGTCAAGGATCTTGCTGAGATCCCTGTGGTTTTCCCAGGGAATGCCAGGGAAGAGCGCCAGAGCCCGAGGATGGCTCAGCAGTGCTTCGTAGAGCTTAAGAAGGGCGCAGCAGTGCTTAGCAGATCTCGCAAGGCCCCGAGTGCCCTGTGGAGGCCCTCCTGGTGCCGAGGTAACGCTTCCAGGGTGCCGGAAGCGTTATCGTGTCACCGGAAGGGGGGGGGTCTTTTTGCTTCTCGGGCTTATGTTCAAGATGATTTGAGGAGAAGGCCGGCCGAGGACTGACCAGGGCTTGACACCAGGCCGCTGGTCGGTCCCCCCAGGCGGCGGCGATGGAGAAGCCCCCGCCTCGCAAGTTGGGGCCGCAGGCAACGGGGGCCGAGCCTCGCCGGGGGTCAGCAGCAAGCCGCCCTTCCGATCCCCCTCGGCCGCGGCTCCGGGAGTCCCTGCGCCCCCTCGCCATCCCTCCGCCGCCCCGGGCTTGGGAGCCGCTGCGGGGCCGTCCCGGGGCCCGCGAGACGCGGCTCCCGCCAGCTCGGGCGCTGGCGCCAGCCTCTTGGGCGCGGCGCGTCCCCCCCCTCTTCGCGGAGCAGCCTTGGGTTGTGTGTTGCGTGGTCGTGGGCCCCCGTGGTTTTCACCCTCTGGGCCACAACGCGCGCTATGCCCGTCACTCCCCCCCCCCCCCCCCTTCCCCTCCCCCCAAACCATAACGTGACGCCCCCCCCCCCCCCCCCAAGTGCGCCAAGGCGCTGCCGCAATGCGTCTGGCACCGCAGTCTGTCACGGTGGGGGGCGGGGGCGTTACGTGATGCCCCCCCGCCCCCCCCCAGAACGCCCGTCATCGCCGCGACCAAACAAATGCTCTCGAAGGGCTGGATGTAGACACTACGTCATTTGGTTGGCCAGGTAGCCGATTCAGCAAGGAATTCGGTGTATGCGCGCTCCAACGTCCCACAGGCTGGGCATTTGGGCCTTCTATACACCAAGCTCCTTGACCGACCACACGACGCAGTGGTAACGTTGGGGGCGTTCGTGGAGGAATGTGCCCAGAAGCTTCAGACCTTGCTTCAGACCCTGATGGATTCCTTGCCTGATGAGGGCGGCGGTGGTATCGATGACCAAGCCTGTGCTGGCGTTCCACTGGCTCCGACCCTGGACTCCGCATCCAATGCCCTCACCGTGCGCATCGAGCCCCCTCCCAGCTCCCCGTCCTCTCCCTTCCCCCTTCTCCTCGCGCCCCTTTTATGGAGCGTGCGCGTGTGCGTCCGCTTCGGGGCGGGGGCGGCGGGGCGAAACGAGGAGCGGCAGCAGCAGCCCAACGTCCCGAGCAGCGGGCGCGTGGGCCGACCAGTCGAGGTGCAGGGCGCCCGCGTGATCTCCGGGTGCCCATCCGCGTCCCTGTTTTCGGTGGGAGGGGCGCGCCCCGTTACGTCTCGAGGGAATACGGCGTTCCCTTGGGCGTCCTCTTCGAAGGCGCGCTGACTGGATGCGGGACGAAGTATGTGTGCATATGTGTGTATATATACATATGCATTCGTATGTGCACTTGTTCAACAACATGTGCGTATGTCTGCCTGCCTGCCTGCCTGCCTGTCAGCCTGTATGTATATGTATGTATGTACGAATGCATGCATGTATGTACGTACGTATGTATGGATGAAAGGATGGATGAATGAATGGATGGATGCATGTGTGTATGTGTATGTATGTGTTTATGTGTGTATGCACTGTATGTTTGTATGTGTGTATGTGTGTATGTATGTATGTATGTATGTATGTATGCCTGCCTGCCTGCCTGCCTGCCTGCCTGCCTGCCTGCCTGCCTGCCTGCCTGCATGCATGCATGCATGTATGTATGTATGTATGTATGTATGTAGATATGTATGTATGTATGTATGTATGCATGCATGCATGCATGTATGTACGTACGTACGTATGTATGTATGTACGTATGTATGTATGTATGTATGTATGTATGTATGTATGTATGTATGTATGTATGGATATATGCAGTCTGTGTGTATGTAGGTCGGTAGGTACGTAGGTAGGTATGTGCGTAGATGTCCATCATCTCTTACCTCCACACGCCATTACCTATCTCTTTTTTTTTTTCTCTCTCTCTCTCTCTCATTCTCTCTCTCTCTCTCTTCCCTCTCTTCTCCCTCTCAGCTCCCTTTTCCTCCCCACCGTCCTCCCCCCTCTCCTGTCCGCCGCCCTGTCGCTGGTCACTCCTCCCCGCCCTTGTGCCTACCCGTCTGTGCGCGTGGCCCGTCTTCACCGACGAGGCCACCGCCGGTGGATCCGACCGAGACTGCCCACCCTGGGCACTGCCCGAGAGCATCCCCGCAAGAGACGCGGCGGGCAGGAGACCACCACGCTCCCCCCCGACTACATCAACAGCATCTCGTTGTGGTTCCCCATGTTCCCGGTCTTTGGGGGGGGGGGGCGCGCGCGCGTTGGCCAGGGCCCCGGAGACAGGGCACACCACCGCTCCCGTCGGCTGCTGGAGGTCCCCGTGCCTCGGGATGCGTGCGTGCAGCTGTATCTCGCCGAGGCTCGGCACTTCTCGGACGTGTGCATGGTTTCTCGGCGAGGGCCATCGAGGAGCCTATTGGATCACCTTGCGGAAGAATACGCGCACGGAGCCGAAGCATGCACGGAGAACGGACGCCCGAGCGATGGCGAGGAGAGCGTTCCGAGCCGAATCGTCCCGAGCAGCCGCCGGCCCGAAGCCAAGGTCAGGGTCGGTCCGATCGGTCTGGTTCGATACCGATTCCAGCATCTCGATCCGATTCGATCTCCGATGGTACCACAATCCGCGATGCGGCCCCTCAGAACAGCCGATTCGATTCGATTTCGATTTCGTGCCGATGCAGCCCGATCTGACGCACATTCCGATTCAATCCGATTTCAGGGATCGAGTCTGACTGCTCTTGCCGAAAGCGGGGGCATTTCCACATTCACGGGCAGGAGAGAAGGGATGGAGAATGTTTGGATCGTTTACGACAGAAAGATTTGCGTCTCCGCCATCTTCCTGCCGCTCTGCTCTGCAAGCATGTTTTCGCGCCCGACTTCAGAAGGCGTCCAGTCGGGATGCCTGTGACCACCAATACCAGACTTGTGAAGCTTGCTTATGTGGTGCACGCGGCGTGATGTCCTGGTGCTTTCAAACTGCTGATTGACTGGTGGTGCTCAGTACCCTCCGCCGCCGCGATCGCCGCCCGCCCTCGCCCCCTCAGCTCACTTCGGGGACTCTGCAGGACCTTTCTGGGGCCGCCCTGCGGCGCTCTGGGATCAGTCTCATCGCGCACGCGTGGCCAACATTTTTGTATATGTTTGGTCCGAGGCGGGGACCTATCCATCGCCACTGCCCGTGGGATCGATCTCTGGGGGCAGCGAACACGGATAATTTCGGGCCCTGGGGTGGCCAAACATCGTTATCCACATCCACCGCCTGCCGAGGTCCCCGACGATCGATCCCCCCAGGCGGTGGTGCCGGATAAATCTCCGCCTCGCATTTCTAGGCCTCTTAGATGGGTTCCAAGTACACGGACTCGGAGGATGGCGCCGAGTCGCCGATGCATCGGGGACGCGGCCTGACTTTCTCCACGTCGACGGCGCCGATGATCGGCGATGCGGCGCGATTGTCTGACCCCGTCTGCTCGGACCCCATCTCTGGGAGGCGTCTACACTTGGCACACCCATGTTTTCATCTCTGACGACCTCTGGAGCCGAAGAAGAACAAACGGTATAAACATAAACTTTTGGCGCTCCGCACGGATATCTTGGATCTGCGCTGGACCCCCCTCCTTGGCGCGCTCCGCGCGCCAGGGGCGGCGCCGGAGGCGTCGCCAGGGGGGGCCCAGCGCAGATGCAAGAACTCCGTGCGGAGTGCCAAAAGTTTATGTTCATGCAGTTTTTCTTCTTCTATGGGGGCTTCGGCGTCCTGGGATTTGCTGGGGCCTCCAGAGAGGCCTCCCTGCGGCCTCGAGGGGCCTTGGGCGACGCGCCCTGCTCCGCGCGCTTGGCGACGCTGGCCTCGGAGGAGGAGGAGGGGGAGGAGGAGGAGGAGGAGGAGGAGGAGGAGGAGGAGGAGGATGAAGAGGAGGAGGAGGAAGGAGGAGGAACAAGAGGAGAAGGTAGGAGGAACAAGAGGAGGGGGAATGGAGGAGAGGATGGAGGAGGAGGGGGAGGAGTGGAGGAGGAGGAGGAGGAGGAGAGGAAACGGGGATGGGGAGGGAGAGGGGGAGGGGGAGGGGGAGGGGGAGGGGGAAGGGGAGGAGGAGGGGGAGGGTGAGGAGGAGGAGGAGGAGGAGGAGGAGGAGAAGGAGGGAAGGAGGAGGAGGGTGAGGAGGAGGAGGAGGAAGGAAGGAGGGAAGGAGGAGGAACATCAGGAGAAGGAGGAGGAGTGAGAAAGGGGATGATGAGGAGGAGGAGGATGATGATGGTGATGATGGTGAGGATGATGATGATGATGATGATGATGACGATGATGATGATGATGCTGATGATGATGCTGATGCTGATGCTGATGCTGATGATGCTGATGATGATAATGACGATGACGATGACGATGATGACGATGATGCTGATGCTGATGATGATGACGATGCTGATGATGATGCTGATGATGATGTGGTTGATGATGATGTTGATGATGATGATGATGCTGATGATGAGGATGATGATGATGATGGTGATGATGGTGAGGATGGTGAGGATGATGGTGATGATGATGATGATGTTGATGATGATGATGATGAGTCTGATGATGCTGACCATGATGATGATGCTGATGCCGATGATGCTGAAGATGCTGCTGCTGATGATGATGATGATGATGATGATGATGATGATGATGATGATGATGATGATGATGATGATGATGATGATGATGATGATGATG